GTAATAAATATGGTATGGTAATAACATGTAATAAGTATGGTAATAGCTTCCACACGTTGGAATGTAACCCCGGCCTAGCAGGTTTGGAGAGGGACGAGGGGAAGACTTTTTGGATCTCCCCTCGTCCTGGTTCTAAGCCGCCATCCATCTGGGGATCCCCATATGGAAAGCCCCACATATGTCCAATGGTCATCACATGTCATCACATGTCATCACATGTCATCACATGTCATCACATGTCATCACATGTCATCACCATCAACCTCAATATCAACTCGGGCCTCATGACTGTTTTGATGGTCAGCATTTTGCGTATCAGACGTATCATCATGGGTTTATCTGAAGGAAATCGTAGGGCCTAGAAAACAATGATGCAACTTAAAAATTGAGGATTTTTGGGATTTCCGGTACTTGTGTCCTCCACTTTTTTGGTTGTGGGCAAACTCGTGTCATCATTCTTCAAATCAAACCGTCACTGTCGAGGAAAGCAGGTGGTGGTCAACACAAGGTCGCGACAACTGTGCTTCACATTGGATGGAGGGAGGCAATGTCCAACAAGACGAATCAATGGATCAACATTGGAGTGGTCGCTGCGCTGGTTTTCAGCGTTCCCCGGAGTTGTTTTGCCGAACGCTGTTTTTTCGTTCTGTTTTTTTTCAGTGGGGGGGGGCTTTACATGGTGTTAGCCGGTTAGATTTGCTAAATCTAACCCAGTCATACCCAGCCAATGTTCGGTTCTGAGCAGGGAACAGCAGCCAAGGTTCTCTACTCTGCCATCAACCAACCATTTGGCAAGATTACTGCAGATGACATGTGGGCAGATCACCGGGAGAATATGAACAAAGTCTTGATTTGCTTGCTCTACATCAGCACCATTTTTGGACTCATTACAGTGGTGCTCACCATCTTACTCCTCATCCATATTTCTTCTTTCGTGAACGATGCCGATGACTTCCTCTTCTTCGTGAAATTGAATCCCAGTGGTGTCAGGGATTTGCGAAGAAATGTTCCCCCTTGGCTGATGTTTATTTCACGAATCTATTGGGCATGATGATTGTTGTTTTTTTTTGCACTCAATGTGTGAATGCAGATCCAACTTAAGCGTGATTTTTCTCCGTGCTACTCCGTACTACTCCGTTCTACTCCGTGCTAGGGTGCCGTTTTCGACATGATGCACGCGTGATTTCGATCATGATCATGGATGATCTAGGGATCTATTGAAGATTGCTGTTGAACAGCAGCTGTACATTTCCATCATCATTTCCATCATCATTTCCATCATCATTTCCATCATCATTTGTCTATTGATGTACATGTCCATCCATTTATTGCCACACCATTTTTCCATATGTTTCCCCAATATTTTTCAATATTTTTCCATATGTTTCCCCTACATTTTTCCATATGTTTCCCAGGTTTGGTGGACATTTCCATCATCATTTGTCTTCTCTGTGGTGGAATCTCGATCCCTCTGGCAGCTGTGGTGGGAAACGAGGCACGACTGACGTGTTTTGTGCTGCTGAAAGATTTGATTCGAGCTGCTGGAACTGGTTATAACTGCTTGGATCTGCTTGGTGATTTGACATCTGAACTATCGCATTTTTTGGGCTGAATTCTAATACACATGTTCTGACCTAAACATAGCTAAGATAGGGCCATAGCCATTTGAAGATGATTCCCCTATCATCATTCGACATCACAGTGATGTCATTATAATTCATCCAGATGACGTATTTATATAGAAATATGTCCCAACCTTATTCAGCTTCCCCATATTCCGGGAAAAAAAGTTATGGTTAACCTCATTCAAATCATTGAGATTTATTGTTTCCGAAATCCTATTTGCGATGACAACCTCAATTGAGGTGTTTTTATGTTTCTTAAGGGTTTCTAGTTCCAGATATTACATGATATTACAATATAATAATATAATCCATCCTGTGGGGCCCATTCCGAAAGAATAATCCTAGATTGATCTAGATTGTCATCTCGGCTTTAACGTTGTATGGAACATTCAGAACCGGAGCTTCTGTCAAAGCATACCCTCCTGGTAATCAAATATGGCTAGCTGGGAAATACCGAGAAATGGGCATTTAGATTGGAAAGGAATCGAACTGTGGGATTTGCTATTGTCATCTTTGATTCCCTCTGAGATACTCTTAAAATCTCTTAAATCTCCGGCGAAAATTTCGCAAACAGGAGCCGATCGCATCCATTTGCTTCTTCACTGGCATCTTCACCTTTACAGGTGTATTGGTGATCTATGTCCGATCCCTTGTCTACAACCACAAGAGGGTTACAGCCAGAATGAAAAGCCTCAGTGGACATCAAGAGGCTATGCAGCAAATTTTGAGGCAAGAATTCGAGAAGATTAATGCCAAAGGCACGTAATGAATTCTGAGATCTCAAAGATCTCTCGCAGATCGCAGATCTGTCTGGTTGGTGGTTCAAACATTCCACTGTTTCCACTGGAAATCCACAGCAAGTTTTCGAGGGACGAGTATGAATTTGCAATGAATCATTATGAATCCACGAAAATAAATCGTCAGAAATGTTGCAAACATTGGCAACCAGAAAACCTGTCAGCGAAGCTGATCTGATCTCTGGCATCTGCGGTTGAAGACAGGCCACGATGCGCGGAAATGAGGTGAGTGTGGGGCAATGGTGTACACCAAATCTAGGATAATCATGGATAATCTAGGAACCTTTCCCAAAAAACAAGGTGTAGATTGTCGGACATGCTTAAAGTCTTTCAACTTTGTTGAACATCTTGATATGTGTACTTATATGTATATCATACATATCTATATATATATATATCATATATATATATATATATCACATATATATATATATATCACACACACACATATATATATATATATATATCATATATACATATATATGTATCATATATATATGATACATATATATATATGTATATGATATATATATATATATATCATATATATATATATATTTATACATAGATATTTATATATAGATATATACATGTCTTAATCCCTCCCCCAAAATATTCACTCCTTAGAAACCATGTTCTTGACGACTGGTTTTCTCGAACTACTCAGTACTGGGGGCCCAAAACAGGGGCACGGTGCCTGGTTCCCCAACGCGCTAAGGAAACCAAAGATCCGACCCGGGTGAATCCTCACATGAAGAAGGCCAGATGTGACGAATTGATTTTTAATGGATTTTGATGGATTTTAATTTATGTTTAATGGGTGTTGATGGATTTGAATGGATGTTTAATTGATGTTGATGGATTGTAATATATTTTAATGGATGTTTAATATGGATTTAGATGGATTTGAATTGATTTTTAATGGATGTTTAATTGATTGTTAATGGATGTTTAATGGTTTATTAATGGATTTGTATGGATCATTGGATTGCTTGGGAAAATTGAAACCGGAAACCCCGAGCTAATTGGTGGTAAAGACCATGGTTTTCGGTTTCGATTTTCCCTTAAACCAATCCATTGATATATGCGTATCTATATATGTTATAGCCATAGCTGTAGACCCTACATTAAGTCGAAAAATATGGGATGATGTACCCATTATGACTTGGGACTTGCACCAAGTTTTATGCGTACTTGGACGGTCTAAGTACATATGACTATGATATACACTGTATCTATGATAGTACATGTATCAATATCCATACTTGGTGGCTCATCCTACTTACTAAGTAAGTTAGTTCACCCTAGTTATAAGTGGATTGGGCCTACTTATCTCACTGAAGAAACCAGGGTAATATAACCTACTTAGTGGGCAGTTCGCCACCAAGTCGCCTCATAGTTCACTTCCGTTCACGGAGGCCTTCGAAGGAATCCAAAGCTTGGAATTTCAACCAGCATGGAGCTCAGTTGCGGTGTTCAAAACCCTTGGTTGATGAGTATTTTCCATGGCTTATGAACATTATACAGAACATACTACCCAATATATTGCAATATATATATATATATATTGTGGGGATTATCCATGATGGGAATCTCTATTGACCAACACAGAATGAAATGAAACAGGAAAATTGAACACTCTTAAATTGACCCACAAGGCCACCCTTGTCAATGGACAATTCATTCTATCGTTTATTTCACCGCGGTGAAAAATGGGGCAGACATTTTCCATGGATTTATTCGGATGACATGTTTCCACGTGGCCCATCCAGGCGCTCCATATGGTGCCCCTCCAGAGCCATTGGATCTCCTGAGGACCAACGCATCACTGCCATGATCTCTTCTGAGAAGGAGGTGGTGCCAGTAACTGGGCGAAAAAAAGGGCGAAAAAACTGGGCCAGCTGCTGCTGGTGATCTCTGGAAATCAGCCAGGTGGCTGGGAAATCCATGGAGGTTTTAATGGGGAAATCATATATATATATATAAATCATCTATAAATCTATAAATGGGACATTTTATCTAGATCTATAAAGCTATAAATGGGAGATTTTCCATTGCCGCGTTTGACTACCGAACGGTACCCTCTGGTGATTTGACATAGGTCTTATGTCTGATAGGGGGCATTTTCCATATGTCAAATTACTAGAGGGTAAATGTCCATATTTTGTTTGGGGATGAACATCCATATCTTTCCATAGTACCAGCAAGGGGCGAAGTCGGGCGAAGAGCAGGAAGTCCAAGGTGCATGGCGATCATTGCCAGATTAGCTGATAGCTGACACTATCCGAAGGCTCTTCAGTCATGGCTTGGTAATCAGTTCCATGGCCAGCTGGAACATCGATTCATTTATTTTCCCAGTGAACTAAAGCTCCATTTAGTTTGGGACATTTCCAGTAGTTTATAGGGGATTCTCCCATTCAAACCTCCATTTATGGTTTTTCCATTGATTTCCCATATTTTCCCTTTCCGGTTTTCCATGGATTTTCCCAGCCTTTTTTAGACAAAGGTCAAGAATCCAGTGGACCCCTACGCAGCTCGGGGCAACGTGGAACTGTGGTTGGTGGAGGTTGAGGTCAGGGTCTCAAGACCAGGAAACTGACGGATGAATCAGGGAGACATCTTGCTGATCAGTTTCCATATTCGCCATATAATGGTTAATTATAGATGATGATATTCCATAGATTTATCCAGATGATTTATCCATATAGTTTCCATTCCTGGTCTCAAGATGTCTCCATATTCCATATTTATCCATGATCAGCAATGGAATATGGATAATCAATGTCAATATATGGAACTATCTACATCACGCCAAACATAGGATCTATTCAGTAGTCAGTAGTCAATCTGTAAATCTAATTATATAGTAGTTACTGTATGAGAGCAAAACATAAAGGACATGACCAACACTCTGCGATTCTCAGGGTCAAAAAATTGCCGAAAACGCCGCCGCAAACCAGAGAGAAATCTGACTGGACAAACATGTGGATGTGGCCTTCTCCAATGGGTACCTGTAATGCTTGAATTTTATAAATGATCAGAAGAAATGGGCCCTTTCTCCCAACATTTTCGTGTTCCATATTCATCCATATTCCATTGCTGATCATCAGAGAACTGGGGATATCCCCATTTCCGGATATCCAAAGCTGTTTATCCATATTCCATTGCTGCATGTATATACAAACAATCACAGATAGTTCATGATGTAAAGAGACATGATTATGATATATCACAAATATCTGACATATCTATCATAAATGAATATCTTTATTCAGAACATATGCAAGTCATTTGTTACAATGTATATATAAAATATACATCACATAGTTTTATAGATGCACATCATACACCATAGCGCCAAACACGTTCCAGCGCCACAACAGTACCCCAAAAAGGCGGCCATGCTGGAGACCATTCGTCACGTTTGTTTGGCCTCAGAGAAGGAGACCCTTTTCTTCCGCCGATCCGTGGTGATTCATGATGAATGTCAATTGGTTAACATCTAACATGATTATCAATGGTGAATAACAACAGTTAATCAATGTTAATCAATGTTGAATCAATGGTGAATAACAACAATGAACCTATGGTTAGATCAATGGTGAATAACAACAGTTAATCAATGTTAATGATCTATGAATCATGGTTCTTCAATGATTAATCTTTGAAAACCTCTAAATTTGTCTAGTTCTATCTAGTTGTTGCTATTGTATATATATATATTGCATGTTACTAACGTGTCTATTTGTTTTATCACTTTAGATGTCCATCATATACATGTGTCAAGGTTGATCAAACAAGACACATAGTAGGGTGTGGGTATAGCCCAACATGGTCCCTTGGTTTACAGGAAAATGATCATATCCCATTTGATTTTGAGGTACAGTACGTACATTTTTCAGACAAAGCCATATTTATTCTCAGTAGTGTTATTGTTATTGGTATTCTCTCATTTCCAGGTAGATAACTATGGAATGACAATATTATTATATAATCACTATTAACCACTATAAACCACTATAAACTGGTGGTTCATCCCACGAATCCTAAGTAGGTTAGTTCACCCTAGTTATTTCAATGGATTATCCCTACTTATCTCACTGAAAAAATCAGGGATATAACCTACTTTGTAAGTGGGATGAGCCACCAAGCATCGTTATTATTATTCTTATTATTACATATCATTACTACTACTATTATTAGTATTATTACATATTATTACTATTCGTATTATTATTATTACTCACCAGTGGACTATCCGATGTGAAGTCCTTCGTAGGACTACCAGGAAAGGAAGTTCACCGACTGGCTGAAGCAGTGGCCTGGGCAGGTGCGGTTTGGAATATCTATAACAATTGATAGTTAATCAATGATTAAATGATGGTTAATGCATGTTATTCATGGGTAAGAATGATATTAATGAACATCAAATCATGGTTAATCAATGTGAATCATCATCTTCCCTATTTACATGATTTAATATGTGCCTATACAACGGGGGTGGTTTAAACCACACCCATTGTCAAACACAGCCATGTGATTGTTGTGGATTAATCAGCGAGGACTTGAATGACTTCGAGGTATTTTTTTTTGTTCATTGAGTCATTGATTAGTAATTCGAGAATGGTGCATAGGCAGCAAGGGTTAACCCTTTTGAGCCCGAAACAGTTGAGTCATTGAATCAGCCTTTGCTTTGTAAATTATTCAAGGCCACATTTGATCACTTTATCTCCACCATGATCATGTCATACCATGTCCATCTTGAGCAACCCTGCAGGCGGTTATCGCTATTTTCTGCCTCTTTTGGACGCGAGAGGCCAATCGAGTTTGCGCCCGAAAGCACCGACAGTGAAAGGTGTTGGGTTTACTGCATTGTTGTATAGAACACCCCAAAAGATGGAAAAAGACACTTATCATTATACTTTTCTTTCTTGGGGATTACTATAAATGTACATACCCTCAACTAACGTAACTATGGAAAATCACCATTTTAATTGGGTAAATCCACTATTTCTATGGCCATTTTCAATAGCCAACTGTTTGTTTACCAGAGGGTAAATGGATGTTGTATCTGATTGTTCCATGCAGAGTTGTTTGAATTGACGTGCAACGCCACGGGCCACGACCTCACCATGGGATGACTCTGATCTTTGCAGGTGGAGGCAGGTCTGAAGAACAATGGCAACGATGGGGTGTGGAGACCCAGCCAGACCCATTTCGGCTCCCCTCGGCAATGAAAAAACCACCAGGTGGCCCTCCAAGTACCGAAAAATGATGGAAAAAATGGGGTCATTTTTAGCAATTTTTAGAATCGGGAATGCCACCTGTTTTTGGAATGGTGTTTATGGCGGGTGTAACTGCGGCTTTTTGGAAATATAGTTTCAGCTTTACCCATTGTTGTGGACTATTACCATTTTCTATGGGTACTTGGAGGGTTGGAGATTGAAACCACACACATAGTGATTTTTTTCGGATGAAATTCATGAAATCCCTCTCTGGTAATTTGGCTCTGATCGGCTAATTCCCAACTATAAGTTACCAGCTGGTTATGACTAACATATCCATGGAAAATCACCATTTTTAATAGGTAAACCATCTATAAATGGGCGATTTTACATGGCTATGTTAAATAACCAGAGCGTAATTGAAAATTGTGTACTGCAACATGTATGCTTTTCCACGTTTGATTATTACAGAGTCGTCTATTTGAAACCTTTGTGGCCAAATGGAATCCCTGTCATTCCACAACGCCATGTTGGACATAGAAAGGCAGAGTTGTCAATAGAAGGACGATAGAGACAAGACGACAATTGGGCGGGCAGAACATGAAGACATGGTAAAGCCATTGCCCATGCATTTATATGTATATATATATATACAATTATGTACATATATATATAATATATATAATGCATATATATATATATAATACATATATATATATATATGTATTATATATATATGTAATATATATATATATATCGAAGACCTTCGAAGGCGAATCCACAGAACTGGCTCCAGATATCAACAGTTCTGCCTTTGTCCGCTGGATGAATCCGACCTGATCTGAGGTCTTACAAGTTGCTGACAAATTGAAACTCACTCTGACAGACATCATTGTGCGAGTCCCAGCACGACATTTCAGGGGGCAACTTTTTGGACACTTGAGGGCTTTTTGTTCAGAGTTTCATCGAGTTATATGAAAGTTATATGGCTATACAAAACCTTGGTAATCCTTGGTACCCTACCCCAAAATAGCATAAAATAGCTGCTGTTTGACAACTTAATGAATGGATCTTCCCCAGTCGGCAATAAATCGTAGCTTTTGAAGCATCACATCGAGCAGCGCCACAGTGACCACAGGATCTGGTGCGGAATGACATCCCTCCTTTGACGCGCTGTACTTTGGAAGCTCTCATTGTGATCTTTGTGCACAACAAGGTGAGAACTCGGTGGGAACATGAAGGGAACACCGCTACACCATGGTACACCCATGGTGCGTCCCCTGGTACAAGGGGAGACCAACCTGGCATTTTTCTGGCGTTTCTGGTTGATGATGATTGATGTGGATAGGTACTGGTATATAGTGGGAATATGAAGCTCTAAAATGCTCTAAATAGGTGTGACTTGTAGCGCGTCCCAAAGCTGTTGCAGTGTAGCAGTGTAGCATGGCACTGTCGAGAGGTCAGTATGTTTCTTTCTTCTCCGTGTCAATGCATTTCATATATACAATATTGTACAATGTACAATGTCTACATCAAGTATCAATATCAAGTATCCTTATGTACACATGTAAAAAAACATGTTTTTTTCCTTGGCCTGGCAAAAAGATTCAAAAAGCATTGGTTCATGATGGTTCATTGGTTCATATTCAATACAACATTCGCAGCATTCCTGCCCTGATCGCACAGGATACGGTGGAGGAATTGGGTGCCATGGGAACCAGTGCGGTGGATGACTTCGACTGGTTGGTGCAGTTGCGGTACTACATCGAGGCCATGGGTTCCTGGACATAGCAAGTTGTGGGGAAAAGTCATCATCTGAATGTTTGAAATTGTGCCAAAGTAGTAGTATTTTGAACAAAATCCCTTTGTTGTTTTTAGCATTCAACATTAATTCAATGACAAACTCACAGAGGTATTGGTTTGGCTGTTTTTTTTCGGTGGCATCCATGGGGGGATCCTGGATTCGCAGGAAAATCCCGAGAAACCACACCAGCAGGACTTGTGCCGCACTGAGTTGGGAAATCCATGGAAAATCCCAGGACTGGATGCTGATTCCGGGATTCGGAGAATCATTGGAATCCCCCTGTGGGGCCTAAAAAATTTCAGCGATGTTAGTGAATCATGATTAAATTCAGCCATATATATTATACATATACATATACATATACATATTTATACATATACATATACAATATATATATATATATATAATATTATATATATCCATAATCATTCATGGAATTATATCAGAATCATATCCATGATGAAACATATCATATATCTATTTATATCTTAATATAGACAGCACACGGTATCCGGCCGAGGTTTGTGAGGATCACCAACAGCTTCCTGGGCTATGCCTACGAGTACCTTGGAAACTCCTCCCGCCTCATCGTTACTCCGTTGACCGCTGGGGGCTCGGTTTTGTTTCGTTTGATGATGGGATTTGGGGTCTTTGAATGTCTTTGAGTCATTCCCAAGTTGTGTGTTTTCTCCAATGTACTTTGACCCTTCAAGTAGCCACATCAACATCGTAGCACGGATTGGAAACAACCGTGTGTTTTTGACATCAACGTGTCAAAACGCCTCACGTTTTGTCATTTTTCAAATCAGCAATTTTGTCAAGAGACGACGAAAAGTTTGCAGAGGCTTTTTTTCATCTCGCATCTGCTCGCTATGTCTCACTTGGACATGTTGTGGCGATAGATCCATTGATAGATTCTATCCCAGAATCTAGCATTGATTCTTGATTGTTGGGCCAGTGCGGTTCTTCATTTGACTGGGGCAATTTTTTTTGAGATGTTGCCAACAACGATCAATTTATTGGGTTCCTGCAACTTTCTTTCTTCCCCGCACTCGCACCTTCCGAGTCCATTCACTATGCATGTGGACCACGGACTTCGCCACCATGCTTTTGGTAACATTTCATCAACGTAGCATCAACTAGTTCCGCAAGCATACATGGACGCTATTATCCCACCCCACCCCACCCCACCCCACCCGTGCCAACAACGTAGCACAGCGTAGAGCTGCCAGTGTGCAAGAACATTCCATCAACGTAGCATCAACTATAGTTCCGCAAGCGTACATGGACGCTATTATCCCACCCCACCCCACCCCCCCCACCCCCCTCCAATCATATACTTTCCATGTGCGGTGACCACGAAAATCGCAACGCCTACACGGTTGTAGAAATACGTGTCACCATAAACATGGGTAGAAGATGGTAGAAGTATGTAAAAGTCCCAAGATCATGGTTTTCCAGCATTTTTTGAGGTTTTCTTCAGAGTCTCGGAAAAAGAACAACAACTTATTATACGCAGCTTAAAAGCACTTAACGCAATTGGCTCAGTGATGTAGGTTTTTCTCGACCACCACCATGGATTGCACCACCAGGATCGTTGCTATCGAACCTGCCGGGCCCTGAAGTCTGATAAAGAGATGTGACATCTTGCTGAAAGCCTCCAAGTACTGAAAAAAACAATGGGGTAATGCAACCATGTATGGCTTTGTCTGAAAATATGGTACCTCTAAATCCATTAGTTAATCATACTTTTCCCTATATGAATACCATTTGGGGGTATACGGTATACGACATGTATACACAATTTTCAGACACCCATATAGAATTGTTACTTGGAGGGTCTAGGTTCTCAGATTCACTTGTTTGATTGGTCGACTCCAACACTTCGAAGTGATAGCCTATGCAAAACTGCACATATCATTATATATATATATATTATATTATCCCATCATATTATCATATCACATCATATCATATCACAACACATCACATCACGTCATATCATATCATTAAGAATACGTACATATTATATCATTGTTATATCATTATTATTTAATTATTATATCAATATTATATCAATATTATTATTTGTTCATTATTATATCATTAGTTTTTATCATTATTATATGATCATTATATCATATCATACGTATGATATAAAGTTAATGAATTAAAAGTTGACATGACGGGTGAAACAAATCATCATCAGGTTGTGGTGCGCTTCATCTTCTCTACGGAGCTGCACCTGAGGCGTTTCACCTAAGCCATGGATGGAGGGTGTTTCACCTTTTGTAACCCATCAGTTTCTAGAGTTCATGGGATACAACGGAGATATAAATGGGGATATCCTTTGTGAATGGATTTCAGTGTTATATAACCAACAATACATGGGGATATAATGGGGATATTGTGGGATATAGTCAAGAATTAGTCACTTGAATGATGGGAATTGTAGGCAACTATCTCAAAAGGGTCTTAGCTCAGACTAGTGAATTGTTAAAACTTACCGAAGTAGATGTGAATCTACTACTTCGACCCTCCAAGTACCCATAAATATGGGTACAAATCCCAAATTATAATGTGTATATTAACCACATATTTTCTAAGTACTTTTTCAAGGTCAAACGGTCAGGGTTTTCAGAAAAGAACAACGCTTTTTCTGTATGTATGAATCAACAGCTAACACCTTAGATTCTTAGATTACTTTTTGGAGGTTTCCATAAATGGGGGTTTCCTACTAACACAGATGATTTGGGGTACCCCTATTTCAGGAAACCTCCTTTAAAGAGGAACGGAAGAAATCATGGAAGTCCTGGGTCGAAGACTGCTGATCTCACACATCTCACTTCGGTCTGGTCTTGAAAGAATCACAACCTGATCTCTAAACCTGGTTGATACTCCACATTGTTCAGCAAGAAGTATATCTTGAAACATGTCAAATCATCTCAAAAACCATTAAATCTACACAGAATATCTCAATTTGTGTGGATTCATTTTTTCATGATAGCTATACGGTACGATACTATGATATACTATGATATACTAAGATATACTAAGATATACTAAGGTATACTAAGATATACTATGATATACTAAGATATACTAAGATATACTAAGATATACTATGATATACTAAGATATACTATGATATACTAAGATATACTAAGATATACTAAGATATACTAAGACATGCAATTATATATATATATTATAGCATCTTTTTGGATCCAGTCATTCATGACATGCCCATGCGGCTTTCCGCCAGGGCCCAGCCGGCACGGGAAAGACGGAGACGGTGAAAGATTTGGCCAAGGTTTTCTGGATTGACGTGGAATTTTGCATGGGAAACGCCGAAACATCCTCGTCATTTCAAGGGAAATTCATGAGGGAAAATAACTGGTTGGTGGTTTGGAACATTTACTATTTTCCATAATATATGGGATAATCCTTCCCATTGACTTTCATATTTTTCAAGATGGTTAAAACCACCAACCAGATAAGATGGAACAGATATGACATGTGTTGTTTTTGTGTTCACCATATATTGGTGATCCTAACCGGAAAATCCATGGGAACCCATATTAGGTGTGGGATGTTGTGGGTCAAAAGCTTGGTACCCGCCTACGTAATCCTACGTACCCTAAGTCATAGCTGGGAAAAATGGGTGTTTCTTCCCCCAAACATGGTAATATGTTTTGACCCACCGGAACATTTGAAAATCATTGGTTTCAATGGTAATTTCAACGACAAAAAACATCTACTTTACATACACCTTCCTTTGGTCCATTGGCACATGGCAGGCCTTGGCTCGATTCTGCGTGGTGTTCAACTGCTCAGATGAGTTGGATTACCTGGCCATGGCCAAGTTCTTCAAAGGCGCGGCCAGATCGCATGGCCAAGCGATCCCACTGAGAGGATGATGGACAACCTTGCAGAACATGCTACTGTTCATACGGAACATTTAATGATTCACCTTCATGGATTTATAGAGGTCTCCTACATTTTCAGACGTTGAGCCTTAAATGGTGAGCAATGGTGAGCAACATGTTCATGATTCCCAAGGAGTCCTTAGACCTGTCGTTACAGGTCTGGCAGCTTCAGGCGGCTGGGCGTGTTTCGATGAGTTCAATCGGATTGATGCTGAGGCGTGGCGGAAGGAGGGGATGTGAGTGTTTTGGGTTGGGGACTCTATAAATAGACCCGCGAGGTACCTAGGAAAATGGGGTACTATATATACGTATATATATATATATGATATTATATATATATATTTATTTATTCATTTGTTTATTATTTATCATTTATTTACTGATTGATTTATTTATATATATATATATACACATTATACTAAATTATCTAAATGTAGCCATTATGATTTGGGACATTGATCCAATTTGATGGGTACTTGGAGGGTCTAAGAACGAAGATAAGAAGGAAGAAAGGGTATGATATTCCTGCAAACTGGGGAAATGTTACAGGAAGGCAAGCAGGGGTAATTATATGTATATGTGTATATATATATATATGTATTTAACATATATATATATATATGACTTCCTACCACAGAATCAACGAACATGTTCTGAACCCACAACTTAGAAATGGAGTTGCCGATACTTCCCAGTTGGGATGGTTAAGTTAAGATGAACAAAAAAGAATAAATGAATCAATGACCGAATGACATGATGACAGACTGAATGAGTGAATAAAGGAATGAATGACTGCATGAATGAATTAATACATGAATGACTGACTGAATGAATGGGCCCCATGTCATGTTTGGGCCATACCTATATCTATGATCCGTCTATCAGTGAAGGGTTGATGGTTGCAGCTAGATGATTTGGCTTTTTGAAGCCACCCTGACTTCGAGCTCCATGGTTTTCTCCATGGTTTTCTCCGCTGGAACTGGAAAAGAATGATCCGGGAACTGGTTGATGTGAAAATATGTGACATATAGCAGAATATATGCAGCAAGTGAACTATGTGTGATGGATATCATATATATAAGCATATATAAGCATGCTTTCCTATACATATTCTGTCTGAATATGACTTGAATATATCTGAATTAGATCAATCCATTGAAATGAGTCCTGCCAGGTGCTCAGTGTGATCGCTCAGCAGATCCTCTGCATTCAAAACGCCATTCGAGTCCGGCTCACTCAGCCGGGTGGGATGAACGGTGTTCAAAAAAGCGTCAAATTTGGAGCTCCTGTGTATAAGCATTTTCAGATCAGATGAATACCATGATTGTATCATAATTCTATCCTTTCTTGCCAGTGACCTCAAATTGTTTCATGATTGTATCATAACTGTATCATAATTGTACCATAATTGTACCATAATTGTATCAGATCCAGTGACCCCAATAGGTCCACAGCTCAATGACCTCAAAGGTCCACAGTTTGTTTCATGAAGATCTCGGAAGCTGTGCCATGCTGTGCCAGGAAAAGAAGACGCACTTTGAGTTCGAGGGCACGGAGCTCCCAATCATTTGGACGTGTAACTGTTTGGGGCCTCAGGTACTCGGTACTGGCATTTGTTGAGCCGGAGATCAAGCTGGGTTATAAATGGTTTCTATATTGGTGTCCGGGTTGTGTTCACATTATGTTATAGACTTATAGAATCGTATAGATATGGTTATGAATTCTATGTCTATATAGTCTATATTGCTTGTTTTCACACTATGTTATAGACTTATAGAAATCTTATAGATATATAAGATGATACAGACACACGATCCTATGTGGATGTGGGTCCCGGCCCTCCAATTGAGCATCTCCTGTGCGGTTACATGGGAAATTTCAGCCACACCGGTGGTAAAATTCAGCAGGGTATTCCGCGGCGGCCGGTGTTGCTGAACCATGAAAAATGGGATCATGTTGCATCCTTTTCATCATTTTTCATGTTTGTGATGACAGGTCCTGTTCACAAATTTTTGCGTGATTCCCCTGGTCACTCACAGCTGCCATAGCTGATCTATAGCATCCTGCACCATATATCTTATAATCTATAGCCACGCAAGAAGTGGTTGTAAACCCCATATGTATTGCGTGTGTAAATTGTATATAATCATCCTGAAGTAGACTGTGGAAGTTAAACGTGCTGGTAATATAGAAGAAAAACACATGAAACATCCACATTCATCCATATTCTATCTACTGGCTGTACTTCACGATGACTAGAATGATATAGATTAATAGCAAAATCACGATGGATGTTTCATCAACATGATTATCATTGATATATAGAATATGTATGAATATGTATAGATTATATATATATAATGTCATAGAATTCTTGTTTCATCAAGATGATATATATATAGATGTGTTATAGCTGTATTATGTTAAAATAGATTATATATACCCGTTTACATGACTATGGAAAATCACCATTTGTCATAGGTAAATCAACAAACTAACTCTAAATGGCCATGTTCAATGGTTTATGATACTTATATATGTTTACATAGATCATATATCTGGGTAAATTATAACGACCTCACTGTTCTCCCTCACTATAATCATAGTTAATAAGGGAAATCATCCCCAAATGGCCGCAAGATTCAGGATAGTGAAATATTATTGTAATTTACCCAGATATATGATAATAGTTGCCATAATAGATATCCCATTATTATTCCATACTATCCTTAGTTACTGTACTATAATTATCCCAGTTTTTTTTTACCCCCGCAATGCCATGGCAGCCATCAAGCCATCATGGTCGCCCAGGTTTCATCACGATGAATCCAGGCTACGCCGGCCGTGCGGAGCTGCCGGACAACTTGAAGGCGGTCGGTCGGTCGCCGGTCGGATCGTTGGAAGATCACCGAGCCAAGGAGCGCTCGAAATTCATGGGAGGTTATGGAAAATGGTTGGGATAATAAACCCCTATAATAATAGGATGATAATAGATATAGATGATAATAGATGGTAATAGATGATCATAGTATATTTATGATAGTACTAGTTATATAATGTTATATAGTTATATATATAATTATATATATATATATATATTATTTTGGAACAGCCAATTTTGTATGGGTGCTTGGAGGCTGTAAGTTTGACACATCTTTGGATACAACATGATACGTACGTTTTTTAACATTCTGTACATAGTCATACTATTTGATTCGGAAAATCCAGCTGAAACATCTGGTCATCGGATTGATTTTGCTGGGACCTCCATGGGTAAAAACATGTAAAAACCGAAACGCCAGGCTTTGTTCCGAACCGTGGCGATGATGGTGTGGACCCCAGTTCCCACGACATTTTTCATTGGTGGCGTAGCGATCTTGAAGATTCTGGATCGGTGCATGATTGATGAGGAATAGTTGATGAAAATTGATAGATGAATCTAGATGATGTCCGCAATGAGAGAGTTTCTCTTTCTTGGAGGGTGTCTAAGTTTTCAATTTTTGTCATGGTTGGTGGTATCGAATATGTTGAAGTTTCATGACCCACGTAACACATTTCTTTGGGACAGGGGGCTCAACTACCACCATCATGGCCACTAGATCCACTAGCATCCCTACCTAAAATCGCAGCCGGTTTACTGGCGTTTAGAGGTGCCGGACTATGCCATGATTGCCGAGATCAAGTTGTATTCTTACGGATACGAGGCCCAAACCGACATCGCCACAACTCATGTTCAACTCAGAGAACTAGTCCCCAGTCATAAGTTGAGGCATCCATACACTTAAAACCGAGTAACTATCAGTATATAGGCCTTTAGCAACAAACAAAAATCACGGCTCAGTTGGCTCTGATTTGGTATTCAACCCTGATCGAAGTGACTTCCCTCATTCCTTCCAGGATTCTCGCTCTCTCGCGCAGAAAATCGTCAGTTCGCCCCAGGTTTTTTGTTTTTTTTGTGGTTTCCAGGCAGCAGCTCAGCAGCGTTTTCACAAACGTTGCCCCATGGCCGTGACGGCCTTGAGGTCACCACCTACAAACTCTGCTCGGAACAGCTCTCGTCGCAGAAGTTGGCAGCTGAGAAACGCTCCGAAGTTCGGTCAGACGAGACATACGAGACGCCAACTTTGGGGTCACAAAATTGTGGACCATGGACCTGAAAAATCTTCCATTTAAGAATGTATTTTGAATGTGTTTCATTGATTGCTGGTCTATTTTGAATGAGAAAGCAAATTGATACAAGGTGAGGCCCCCATTATATAGTTATAGTTGGTTGGTGGTTTCAAACATATATTTCATTTTCCATTTCATATATGGGTTGTCATCCTTCCCATTGACGAACTCATATTTTTCAAGATGCTTAAAACCATGGTTAAAACCACCAGGTATAATGATGGCTAACCCCATGAACACTAGTGATAGATAGTGATCGGATAGTGATATCCCCCAGCAACTCTTCCAGGTCACCCTCTGTCACGATCTGACGGTCCGAGGCACTACGACTACGGCATGCGCGCGGTCTTTGCCGTCCTGGTGCAAGCGGGTCGGCCGGAGGTCTCAGCGCGGTGCGGTATCTTTCAGCGAACGGCAGGAGGAGCAACAAATACCGACAGGAGAAAACCTGGGAGAAAATCGTGAAAATTTGATGTGATCTCTTGCGGCAAATTTGGGGGTTGACATTTTCAGAGTCGAAAGTGCATACCCTTTGGTAAACGTTTACATGACTATGGAAAATATGGAAAATCACCATTTTTAATGGGTAAATCAACGCACTAAATGGATCTAAATGGCAATGTTCAATAGCTATGTTTGTTTACCAGAGGGTAACTGGTCAGTGAATGTTGATGAAAGGCCTCGCAACATCCTAGGCTCAAGCGCAACAATCCCAGCCAGCAAGAGCTTGGAACTTAGTGGTCATGACCTGGTGGGGGGTTACCTGGTGATTTGGAGATCTGGAGATGGAGGGTACCCCCACAGTTGATATACCATGGTTTACAAATCCCGGGATTAACACTATCAGAAATCCAAGGGTTTCTGGCACAAAAAAAAAGGCTAAAGCTTCACAAGTTGGACTTTATGTGTGCCATATGTTGCCATTTTACCATCCATTTACCATCCATTTACCGATCTTTTCTGTGTCGAGGAACATCCTCATGATGCAGTCTGTGAACGACGTGAACTTGGCCAAGTTTCTGGATTTTGATGCGCCTCTGACGGGAACTGGTGGAGAGGCTGAAATCCGTCAATGGGATGCAACGTACATAATGAACAAACATAACCCACATATCATTAATGATATGAGCTACAGCCAAAATTTAGGTTAATGGAGAGTAGTACTCGAGCGGTCTCTATTTTTTGGAAATTGAGCTGGGGCTTGGAAAACGATAATACACTCTTCAAAAAACGATAACATTTACTTATGTACCAAAACCTGAAAAACGATAATACACTCTTCAAAAATTGATGACTTGGAGCTATATACCAAATATTGACCGTGGCCCATATGTGGGTTATGATGTGTTACGTATGTATATATATATATATATTATATATATATATAGTCAAAACATGTTATGTCGATTAATTATATATATATGTACATGTATATATATAAGCAACAAGACATGATATGCGGGTTTGTCTGAAAATATCGTACCCCGATATCCATGGGTTAATTCCCAGTCCGCGTCATTTTGTCAGTGCGTTTATCATGCGATAGCAATTGAATTGATAGTGCTGTAATTGGTTGATAGGGTCTTTAACCAACAAAATGGGATAGCAGTGGACTATAGTTTTAGATGGGATGTGGATCATAATATATCCCATCATTTTATATGATCTTTAGTCTACTCGGTTTATAGAAGGATAGTAGGGTCTAAGCAACAATGGGAATTACAAGGGGACAATGGGGATCAAGCATGATAGTAAGGACATGGGTCAAACATAATCATTTTCCATATTTCCATAGATTTGTATAGATTTCTGTGGTTATTCACATGCATAAATCCCAGCCCTAAATTTTCGGCGGCGCCAGGGTAGTACTGGTCGTGGCTTTTGACACAGGGCCATCTAGGTCCCAAGTGAGCCATAGGAATACTGATTTGCTAAATGTCAATGGCTATAATGGGATGGTATATATATATATATGTTTATGTATGTTTAATGGTTCAAATGGATGTGATAGTTTTGTTTCATGAAGAAAGCTGATAGGGTCAGCCATGTTGGTGTGAGTCTGTGTGAGGTGCCTATACATATACAATGATATATATATATGTCTTCCAGATGCATCATGTGTGGAATATTCCCAATATGTACCACGACTCCTGCAAATGTAGGTGAAATATACCACACACAGAGCATACCGGTACTGTATTGTGCAAGTGGTTCCCCCATGTGAAATTGGAAATGATCCAACGAGATGTTTTCAGTGACTCACGTGCCACTGGAGAAATTATTGTTGGTGAGGGGAAGAAATGGTTGGTTGAAGATCCTCAAGATGTTGATCCTTCCAATTCCATTAAAAAACTATCGCACTGTTGAAGAGAATGCTTCTCCAAAGCCGAAACTTCCCTAGATGGCTAAGGTGCCATTGTACAATGGCATCACACGTGATCTCTTCCCCG